GCTCAGAGGTCCAGGGCAATAGCCAAATTAGAAGAAAATTGGTCTTTAAGTGAAGTAGCTGCAGATTTAAATGTCAGTAAAAGCTGCATATTTTATATCAAAAAACATTGGCAAGAACAACAAAGATTAAGAAGACCTATCAGGCAAGGTGTAGGAAAAATCTCCAACGAAAATGAAGACAATGCTCTTGTCGCACATATTAGGCAAAATCCTTTCAATCCTTTCAATCCTTTCAATAGCCCGAGAAGATACACAATTTCCAGGATCTCTTCGAACAGCTCAAAAAAGATTGAAACAAGCTGGTTTAAAAAAACTGTGCTGCTGCTCATAAGGTTTTTTTAACTGAAGAAAATAAGCGCAGGAGAGTCCAGTTCGCCAATGACTATTTAAATTATGGAGAAGATTTTTGGAATAATGTTATATTTTCGGATGAAAAAACGTTCCAATCTTGCAATAATGGAAGGCTGCGTGTATATCGTCCAAGAAACGCAAGATTTGAGGAGAACTATACATTAAAAACCTCAAATAGTGGACGCTTTTCCATAAATGTTTGGGCGTGGATAAGCATCCATGGTCCGGGAGTATGTTGGGAAATTGATGGTAGATTAACGGCTGAGCACTATACCAGGATTTTGGACAACGTTATGCTACCTTCAGTTAGACATGTGTTTCCAGAAAACTTTATATTTCAACATGTAAGAAAACTGTATAGTATTTAAAAACGATTCTAATAAATATTATATTACAGGACAATGCACCAGTTCACACAGCTCGCGTGGTTACAGAGTGGGTAAACAACAACCACATAACTGTTTTGCCATGGCCAGCTAGAAGCCCTGACTTAAACCCCATTGAAAACGTGTGGGGTTTTATAGTTAAAAATATATATCAACGGGACTTTAGGCCAGCAAACCGAGATGAACTATGGAGTGCTGTTGAAAATTCTTGGGATGAGCTTGCTGATTCATACGACATGCGTGAGCTAATAATGTCCATGCCAAGAAGGTTGCAAAGGGTTGTGGCAGCTAATGGCTCTGCAATTAAGTATTAAAATAGCTTAGCAGCACAGTTTTTTAAGCCAGCTTGTTTCAATCTTTTTTGAGCTGTTCGAAGAGATCCTGGAAATTGTGTATCTTCTCGGGCCTTAAAGGCGCTATTGAAAGGATTTTGCCTAATAAGTGCGACAAGAGCATTGTCTTCATTTTCGTTGGAGATTTTACCTACACCTTGCCTGATAGGTCTTCTCAATCTTTGTTGTTTTTGCCAACGTTTTTTGATATAAAATATGCAGCTTTTACTGACATTTAAATCTGCCGCTATTTCACTTAAAAACCAATTTTCTTGAGCAATATGTTAATTTAGTTATGTTATTTTTATTGTGTATTTACCTACTTGTTAATTTATATTGTTGTATAAAACCAAATTAAAGTTAATTTATTTGTTATATTGTTTATATTATTGTTTGTTAAAATATTATTAAAAAAATAGAACGATTTTACCTACACCTTGCCTGATAGGTCTTCTCAATCTTTGTTGTTCTTGCCAATGTTTTTTGATATAAAATATGCAGCTTTTACTGACATTTAAATCTGCCGCTATTTCACTTAAAAACCAATTTTCTTGAGCAGTATGTTAATTTAGTTATGTTATTTTTATTGTGTATTTACCTACTTGTTAATTTATATTGTTGTATAAAACCAAATTAAAGTTAATTTATTTGTTATATTGTTCATATTATTGTTTGTTAAAATATTATTCAAAAAATAGAACGATTTAGGATATTGTTCTTATTCTTAGTATTCTCCCTTCTATATGTAACACCACTGGTCGAAGCCAGGAATGAACGAATAAATTTTATGAAAAAAATCCATGACAACAAAAAATCGTTCACATTTCGGAGACGCCAATTGTACTTTTTGATTTTTGCCTGGGGCACATCGGTAATCCGTGCCAACCCGTTTTTAACGTGGACCACGTTGTTGCGCACCCGCACTTATCTATTTGTAACTTCATTATCTATCGTTTCCTTTTCAACCCTTCCTTTTAATTCCCCATTTCGACCCAACTGGGAGGACTTCAAGAAGCGCCAAGGACTTCTGGAACTTCTGGAGATCAATTAATCTTGTATGTGAGTATATAATAAAATTATGTTTTTTCAAAAATCACTGTTATATTATAGTTTAGTCTGTTTTAGATTGCTTTAGATTGTGATGGAACTTTAACAGCAGTCGTCCAGGAAATCCATATGGAACCCTCCTTTGCTAACCCTCTCACTTGGACCAATTTTAGTTTAATTGTACAATCTTAGGATTGTTGAATTAAATTTAAATTGTAGATGGATCTTGAAGGTACTTTTTGATTTTTGCCTGGGGCACATCGGTAATCCGTGCCAACCCGTTTTTAACGTGGACCACGTTGTTGCGCACCCGCACTTATCTATTTGTAACTTCATTATCTATCGTTTCCTTTTCAACCCTTCCTTTTAATTCCCCATTTCGACCCAACTGGGAGGACTTCAAGAAGCGCCAAGGACTTCTGGAACTTCTGGAGATCAATTAATCTTGTATGTGAGTATATAATAAAATTATGTTTTTTCAAAAATCACTGTTATATTATAGTTTAGTCTGTTTTAGATTGCTTTAGATTGTGATGGAACTTTAACAGCAGTCGTCCAGGAAATCCATATGGAACCCTCCTTTGCTAACCCTCTCACTTGGACCAATTTTAGTTTAATTGTACAATCTTAGGATTGTTGAATTAAATTTAAATTGTAGATGGATCTTGAAGGTACTTTTTGATTTTTGCCTGGGGCACATCGGTAATCCGTGCCAACCCGTTTTTAACGTGGACCACGTTGTTGCGCACCCGCACTTATCTATTTGTAACTTCATTATCTATCGTTTCCTTTTCAACCCTTCCTTTTAATTCCCCATTTCGACCCAACTGGGAGGACTTCAAGAAGCGCCAAGGACTTCTGGAACTTCTGGAGATCAATTAATCTTGTATGTGAGTATATAATAAAATTATGTTTTTTCAAAAATCACTGTTATATTATAGTTTAGTCTGTTTTAGATTGCTTTAGATTGTGATGGAACTTTAACAGCAGTCGTCCAGGAAATCCATATGGAACCCTCCTTTGCTAACCCTCTCACTTGGACCAATTTTAGTTTAATTGTACAATCTTAGGATTGTTGAATTAAATTTAAATTGTAGATGGATCTTGAAGGTACTTTTTGATTTTTGCCTGGGGCACATCGGTAATCCGTGCCAACCCGTTTTTAACGTGGACCACGTTGTTGCGCACCCGCACTTATCTATTTGTAACTTCATTATCTATCGTTTCCTTTTCAACCCTTCCTTTTAATTCCCCATTTCGACCCAACTGGGAGGACTTCAAGAAGCGCCAAGGACTTCTGGAACTTCTGGAGATCAATTAATCTTGTATGTGAGTATATAATAAAATTATGTTTTTTCAAAAATCACTGTTATATTATAGTTTAGTCTGTTTTAGATTGCTTTAGATTGTGATGGAACTTTAACAGCAGTCGTCCAGGAAATCCATATGGAACCCTCCTTTGCTAACCCTCTCACTTGGACCAATTTTAGTTTAATTGTACAATCTTAGGATTGTTGAATTAAATTTAAATTGTAGATGGATCTTGAAGGTACTTTTTGATTTTTGCCTGGGGCACATCGGTAATCCGTGCCAACCCGTTTTTAACGTGGACCACGTTGTTGCGCACCCGCACTTATCTATTTGTAACTTCATTATCTATCGTTTCCTTTTCAACCCTTCCTTTTAATTCCCCATTTCGACCCAACTGGGAGGACTTCAAGAAGCGCCAAGGACTTCTGGAACTTCTGGAGATCAATTAATCTTGTATGTGAGTATATAATAAAATTATGTTTTTTCAAAAATCACTGTTATATTATAGTTTAGTCTGTTTTAGATTGCTTTAGATTGTGATGGAACTTTAACAGCAGTCGTCCAGGAAATCCATATGGAACCCTCCTTTGCTAACCCTCTCACTTGGACCAATTTTAGTTTAATTGTACAATCTTAGGATTGTTGAATTAAATTTAAATTGTAGATGGATCTTGAAGGTACTTTTTGATTTTTGCCTGGGGCACATCGGTAATCCGTGCCAACCCGTTTTTAACGTGGACCACGTTGTTGCGCACCCGCACTTATCTATTTGTAACTTCATTATCTATCGTTTCCTTTTCAACCCTTCCTTTTAATTCCCCATTTCGACCCAACTGGGAGGACTTCAAGAAGCGCCAAGGACTTCTGGAACTTCTGGAGATCAATTAATCTTGTATGTGAGTATATAATAAAATTATGTTTTTTCAAAAATCAATGTTATATTCTAGTTTAGTCTGTTTTAGATTGCTTTAGATTGTGATGGAACTTTAACAGCAGTCGTCCAGGAAATCCATATGGAACCCTCCTTTGCTAACCCTCTCACTTAGACCAATTTTAGTTTAATTGTACAATCTTTGGATTGTTGAATTAAATTTAAATTGTAGATGGATCTTGAAGGTACTTTTTGATTTTTGCCTCGGGCACTTCAGTGTGTGAGTGAATCTTATGTGAGTATGTAAGTAATAATTTTGTTTTTAGCATATTTTTCATATTTATATTCTTTGTTTTAGGAAATTATAGGTAAATATTAGGATAAGGAGGGGTGGGGGGTAACTCCGCCAGGTATTTTTAACCTGCCGGTCCCAAGCCCGGAAAAAGGAGGAGGGCCCCTTACTCTTTTCCTACCCATAGAAAAACACGGTTTTTTCACAATATTGCAAAAACAAGAGCAAATTTAGCAAAATAATTTTCATTTTTGGAATCAGCGCAACAAATTTACCCTAGAAAAGTTATTGGCCAATTTAAAAATACAGTTTAACGTAGATTAAAACAAGGTTGTATTTTGAACAATTAAGGTTAAAAATACAATTTACCGTAAAAATAGCACAAATTTTAACACAAAAAATATACTCACTAAAATTATCAAACTTGTGGCAAGTCTTTCCAGCCGCGGCAGCCACATGCAAAGGGGTGTACAAATTCCTATCCTTGGCGTTAACATCGGCCCCATTTTTAATTAAAACCTCAGCGGTATCAACGTGCCCCATCTGAACAGCGCAATGCAGGGGCCTGACGTCCTTTTTGTCGCACGCATTGACAATGCAACCTTAAACATGACGAGACAATTTTATGGCACGCCGTTTTAAAACTTATTAAATAATTTTTAAATTTCAAATTTTATTGTTTTAATAAAAATTTTAGGTTTACATTTAAATTTAAAATATTTTTAACTATCATGTATTGAAAGACAAAATGTACTAACTAACAGTTCACTTCTGTATTAAATCATTTTTTAATAAAGTAGAATTTTGTAAATCCCAAACAAATTTTGTATAAAATTATTTAGATTAAATTGGTAAAGTTAATTTTTTTAGTATTTAAAAATAGTGTCAAGACATTTAAAATAAAAATACATAAAAAATATTTTTTACCAAAATAGTTTAAAAAGTTAATTTTTTTCTCAAAACAATTGATAATAAAAAAATATTTAAACATAAAATGGTCTAGGGATATCAAATTTACCGTATTTAAAATGTTTACAATTTCAATTATGTTTGATAAATATGGATTATTTAAAATTTAGTTGAACACAAATTTAATTTAAAATACATTAAATAGTAAAAGGGCTTGCCAAATTTGTGAAATTAATTTTAATTTATTTTTAATTTGTTTACATCTTTTTTATATTTAAATAATTGGGTTCAATTTTTATGATACCTTATTACAATTACATCAGTTTTTCTGAAACAATACCTGCCTTGCACATGCTGAATTCATCGTCAAAAATTATTAGAACTGTACGAAAATAAAATGTTATGAGAAATAACTCCATATTGCAAAGGTGTTGATGTTGAATTTTAATTCAATAAATTATTTTTTAATAGGTGCAAAAATATTTTAATTTTTATTTGAAACTTATTTTAAGTTGCAATGTTGTTCATATAATAATGTTAATTCAACTATTTAAAACGATGTAGAATACAATTTTTATTGCTTGAATTAAAATGGTGTATAACACCATTTTAATTTTTGGAATTAAAATTATGTAGAGTATAATTTTAAACGGGCGTACTAAAATGATGTGTACATAATTTTAATTCAATTAAGATGATGTATAGTATAATTTTAATTATGTGAATTAAAACTATGCACATTTATTTATTTATTTTTTTATGATGTATATACATCATTTTAATTGAATTAAAATTATACTATACATAATTTTAATTGAATTAAAACTATGTACATATTACTACTAATAATAATACATTTATTGAACCAATTAGCACAAAATAAAAACAAATATAAAATTACGATAACAATAAGTTAATTCGGCAACGCCGCAATCGCGAAATGTATGCTAAAGTTAAGAATGTTCCTTGTTTTGGTATTTAAAATTATGTGTGCATGTGTGCATAATTTTAATTGAATTAAAATTATGTACACATAATTTTAGTACGCCCATTTAAAATTATACTCTACATAATTTTAAATCACGAATTAAAATTATACCACAATATACCTAATTTTAATTCTAAAAATTAAAATTATATTAAACATAATTTTAATTCCAGCCATAAAGTTATATTCTACATCGTTTTAAATACTTGAATTAATAATACCATAGGGAAAACATTGCAAGTTAACATTTATAAGATTCAAATAAAAATAATATTTATAGACCTATTAAAAATAATTTATTGAATTAAAATTCAACATCAAAACCTTTCCAATATGTAGTTTTTTGTAACAATTTTTATTATATTATTCTCCATGCTGTTGAATAAAAAATGTGTTGTTAAATGGCATGGCTTGCCATACAAATGTAAAAGTTTAAGTTTAAAATATTGGTTTATAAAAATTGTAGTTTTAATATTATATTCTACAAAATTATTGATTTAAATTTGTAAAGAGTCAAATGATAGTCGATAAATTTTTAATACAAAAATTGACTATACTTAAAATTTACCACTCTAGAAAGAGACAGCGTACGCCGTCTGTTAAAGCTACGTTTACACTTTGTAAATTAAAAATTATATACTCACATTTAAACGTTAAGTTCTAAATTTTGTGTTAAAAATGTATCAATTTAAAATTGTTAAAAATAAAAAGTTTTGGTTTGGTCATTTAAATGATAGTCGACAATTTTTTAATCCAAAAATTACCACTCTTTACAAATTTAAACCAAAAATTTTGTAGAATATATATATTTGAATTAAAATTTTTAAAAATTAATACCTAATTAACTTTGTAATTTTGTAAATTTCTGTTAAAACATCATTAAAGTGCTAAACTAATCTTCAAACTATTTACTAATAAATACTAAAACGGCGTGCCATACAATTTGCGCATTTTTTAATAAAAAAAAAAAAATCTAAAAATGTCTCACCTTTAGATAATAACAACTCCACTATCAGCGCATGCCCGTTCATAGAGGCATGGTGTAAAGCGGTGCGACCCGAACGGTCCGTAACGTTTAAATTCGGAATGAAGTTTAAAAGTTGCTCGACGCAGTGATAGGAGTCGTTTGCTGCTGCTATATGCAGCGGAGTTTGCCACAGCCTGTCTCTAGCGCTTATATCCGCCTGGTATGAGAGCAGCAGGGACACTGCGTCGTTGCAGGAATTGCTGCAAGCTCTGTGCAACGGCGTTATCCACTTGGAGTCCTTTGCATTCACGCGCGCGCCGTTTTCCAGCAGGACGGAGCATATGGCAACGTCGCCTTTGTAAGCGGCCGCGTGTAGGGGTGTCCTTTTTTCGCAATCTGTGTTTATTTAAAGTTGATTTTAGGGTGTTTTTTAATTGGATGACAATTTATTAGGTGTCACCCTGTATATGATTTCAATCCTTGGGTGATTTTAAGGAAAGAAATCCAAAGCAACTTTTCACTAAATTTGATAAAAAATATGCACTTGTTCTCTAAACAATATTTCTTTCAATTTTGAAAACCCTATTTTTCAAAAATAAAGCTGTTGTAGATAAAAGTTAATATGAACTTTTTTTTTTAAAATCATCCAGGGAAAACCCCTTTAATATCAGCATCAGGGTGGAAGAAGGAGGTGATACATCTCTCTCCCAGAACGCGGCCAAATAACTCTGTTAAAAGTCTGAATAGATGGCGCATTGAAGTGGAACCTGTTTTAATCCCGGTGCACAACAAACTTTTCCCATTTTTAGTAAAATTGCATTGATTAACTTCAAAGAATAGACCACTAAGCTTAATTAAAATTCAAATAAAACAATTCCAACGTCACTTTTGTGCGTTTGTGGCGACTGTGCATTTTGGCAAAACAGTTGACAATACTACAGTATTGCCAATCGTTCTGCAAATTATTATAATAATGCTGTAAGAAAAGATGTAATTTTCGTTAAGAAGACTCTCCTTGGGTTTTCGTTATCTTATAATTTGTTGTTAAAAGTTAAGTTGTTATAGAATTTATGAATTTCGTTTGTAAAACCTTAGGTTCTTAGTTGACTCGCCATCTAACGAACAACAAACGAAATACTGACTTATCTTGACGCTTGCTTTTGTACAGTAGGGATAGGAGCTATATCACCTTCTTCTTCCACCCTGATTAGCACCTTGTATAAAGCTGCATTTTTAGTTAAGCAGCTAAATAATTATTAAGAATTCATACAAATACTTATGATAAAATATAAATAATACTTAATAGCACAAGTATTTAAAATTAAGTTAAAAAGTCTGAATATATTAAAATACAATTATATTAAAGTATAAATCCCCAGCAAACACAACCGGAAAGGTTCTCTAATGACACTTAATAAACGTACCTTTAATGAACTAAAGGCCATATAAAGGCTAAATCTAATGGAACTGTGCATATTATGTCGCTATCACTTTTAATGGGCATGTAACGGCAGTCAATAAAGGCACTTACAAGAACAATTCCATTTTTTGATATGGCGCATATTAAAAGTACAAATGTGATAAGCTAAAGTTTCTGATATGGGGTGTTAAAGATTTTATAGTGGTTATTTAAATAATTTTTAATGGATAAGTGAAGTATCTGGTTTTATGAAGTTATGGTGGATTAAATGTATATAAATTTACATATATAAAATACAAAGCAATGTGTTGTAATAAATACCTGTATTTGTAACATAAAAAATCTGTTTATTAGGTAATAAATAAATAAACTAAATGGAAAATATTTAAAATTAAAATATATATTTACAAATAAGTTGATTTTTTTGTTAGATTATCCTGTATATCAAAGAAAGACAGGTTTTCTTTTATTTGCAATTGCCCCAATTTAAACCTTTCTACTAAAATCTTTGGCAGTATTTTGTCTGTAATAAGTTTCCAAAAATGGTATAATTAAAAATGCACCTACTTACTCATTTAAATTTAACAACCATTAGGTATTATTATTATTTTTTTATGTGGTTTAACACACTATTTAAACTAGGAATTACACTGGGCGTCATTTTTGAAATATAGCGTTAACCAAAGGATAATTAAAGGCTCATGTAAGTTTTATATTCAGAAAACATTTGGTACTTCAATGGTCCCATTAACTTGATACTGAAAATTACTATATGGGTTTTTTATAAAATATACAAATATTTGGCATTGCAAGACCTTATCACGACAGCCTTTTATCAAAATTATTACTTTTATTAAAACATTCTTATAAAGGCCCAGTACAAGGAAAGCTTTAGCTGAAAATGCCATTATTAAGCCATGAAACTATGTAATGGGCCAATACATAATCAGACTTAGGTATGTGTTTGCTGGGACATTTAAAGTGGTTCATTATTAAGTTAAGATTTTTTCTTTTTTTTTTTTTTTGTAAAAATATTTCAAAATAGTAACTTCAGGGTCATACTATACAATTTAAATGGTACCCAAACTACACAATTTTGGCAAAACATTTTGCAAAATAATATTTAAAGCTCTAGTAGGTATAAATAATTTAAATTAGGATATAAAAATAAGACAGCTTTTATAAATATAGTGTAATATACACTTAATTTGTTTTCAACTTACTTATTTTCATACATCATACTATACAATTTAAATGGTACCCAAACTACACAATTTTGGCAAAACATTTTGCAAAATAATATTTAAAGCTCTAGTAGGTATAAATAATTTAAATTAGGATATAAAAATAAGACAGCTTTTATAAATATAGTGTAATATACACTTAATTTGTTTTCAACTTACTTATTTTCCCAAATTTTAACAAATGCTTCTTATAATTTTAATTTAATTAAAACCAAATAAAGACTTACCTAATTCATTAACATTCTGCTTCAACTCTATCAGCTCTTTAATCTCTTCAACAGCCCCTGCAAAAATTGCTTGCAAAATAGGGGGCTAAAAAATCAAAATTGTCCCTTTAATAAACATAACCTTGTTAAATATTTTCCACAAACCTGCTCTTCTAGATGCAATAAAACCATTTTTTATGTATAATTGATGGAAATGAATGGTCCAAGAAAATAAAAGTCGACGTTTTCAATGATTATTCATTGAAAAATTAAAGAAAATCAGGTAAAAAGTTATGATGTAAATGAAATGTCAAAATTGTACTGTTTTGTTGGCAGCACTGCTGCAAACTTGACGCACCATTATTATCTATGACTTTATCAGGTTTGTTCCATAAAAAATGATTTGTAGGATGTAACTTACATCCTACAAATCATTTTTTACATCATGTAAGGTTTCTTTAAGGTATACCCAGCATTTGTCACATATAGCTTACATGCATGTAGGCTCCATAATTTGTCACGGTGAAGTCATATAATGGATTCTCGCTTGGTTTAGTACTACTAAACCAAGGATTCTCGTACGGTTTTTATTAGCTTGGCTCACAGAAATAGAGGCTGTGGCTTGGCTACAATGACAATTAACACGTTTTTTTCTTCACAAAGTTGGTATCACATTCAATTTTATATTTTGTTGACAGCCATAAAAAACTGAATATTTCCATAAAATTCTGGAAAGAATCTATAGTTTAGGCCAACGTACGGGAATAATTTAATTATTGATATAGGATAATAATAAACTTATCCAAGATTCTTTGGTTCCTATCCTACCTTTGTTACTTATTTATGTATTCTACCGACCAGTGACTCTAATAGAGTTCTTGCTTGTTCCGAACAAGCCTGTTATTAAGCTCGTTCCTACTGTGCATTTGGACTGTCAAATGGACGTGCGCAATATTAAAATCGCAACCATATTTTTGTATTGCGCATGCGAGTTTGATATTGCGTATGCAATTTTGGTATTGCGCATGCGATTTTGGTATTGCGCATGCGATTTTGGCATATCTCCGACTTCCATATGCTAGGTAGCATGGAGTAAATCAACTTTAAAATCTGTGGAACAAACCTATTATGACTTGACGTGACAAATTTAAAAACCGCTTTTAAAATTATTATGTTGATTATTACATATTTACATAATTATGTGGTTATTAAACAAACAAAGATTATTTTAATTATTATTATTTTTTTATTACTGTTTATCAATATCCGGCGAGTTCGTTATAACTTAAACTCAACCGGATAAAAGTATTTTTAGAGAAATCTCTGGTACATAAGATATAAGGTCAGGTATTTTAAAATAAAAACATAGAAAACAAAATTATTTATAAGTTGGTAGTAGTGTAAATACTGTCATAACCTCAAAAATTTGAATTTTTCTGTTTATATTGAAATCATATAATGTAAAACGCTTAAAAGCTCAAAAAACAATCGACTTTCATCCAAATTAAGTGAATATTATGTGAAAACACCGAAAAAATAATGTGTTCAAAAGAATTAAACAACTGCGTTTATAGAAAAGACCATTTAGTGCCAATATACGAAAAAAATCGTTATTTGGAAGATCGAAAGCTTAATATTGCCATTTGCGACTTCCAGGATAGAGATGTTTTGGTAAGAATAGGATTTTTTAAGTTTTAGTGTGGGTTTTAGATGTTTTATAGTATAGGTTGTAAGTTATAGGGGTAAAACAAAAATCTCTTATTTTTTGTAGCAAGTAAAAGTAAGGGACCAATCAGATTTCTCCTTTAATTATTTTGAGGACATGGATATGGGCGATTTTGAAGTAATGAGGAACAGCCAAAATTTGGATATAAATTTTTTGGAATTTAAGACCGATTTAATCGATATGTTGAATCAACATCAAAAAGATGAAATGTAAGAACATTTAATTTTTATAACACCTTTTATATTTTTAACATTTAGGCACCTAAAAGTCGAATTATCCCAGAACAAATGCACACTGGTATTTTACGGAAAATCCAAAATAAAAATCATTGTGTATTTAACAGTTGATCTAAAGTTAACAAACCAAAAAGAAATTTTCAGTGAGATGAATAATAATTTAAAACAGTTGCAAGAAATAAATGAAAGATTAAAATGGCAATTATCACAAAGCAAGTCAACAATAAAAGATAAGGAAAAACAAATATTAGAAACAATGCAACTTAAGAAGAATATAGAGCAGGAATTCTTGAATGTGGGTCCTATTTTTTGTTGATTACTTTTAATATTTATTTTACGTAAAAATTACACATTTTATTTTTGCCCTATTTGTTACATTTTTGTAGCGTTGCTTTAAATTATTAAAACATGTTGATTCAGTGTTGTAGCAGTAACAGTTTTAAATATCCATAATATTTGTTTATATTGCCTTAATTTGACATGTAAAACAATAATGATAAGAGTGATGTCAAACTTTGTCGAGATATATCTCAAAAACCGATAACGCCACTGAAAATGTAAAAACATGGATTTGTAGAGAATTTAATTCTCTTCAAAAGTCCTAAATATCATATTTACGTAAAATCAATATTAACAAAGATATTGTGGTTTTTCTTTAGCACCTCAGCAAGGTGGAATCTTTCTTCAATAACAAAATTTGTGAAATACGTGATAATCTTCTTACAAAGTTAACTCTAAACCAAAAAAGGTTATCAAAGTTGTTTAATGATCTTCAAACAGTTAAAAGTGAGTCGATTTTGAAATCAGATTCAAGCCAAAGGCTGTTAAAAACAATGGAAAGTCTTAGGATAGAGACTATAGAAAATGCCACTATTATAAATGAGTTAAAAACTGAAAATAGTGCCTTAATATCAGCGAAAAATACGTACGATAAAATTATAAACGATCTTAACTCAAAAATACAGGATTTGGATAAAGTTAACTCGATTTTGCAGAGCAAAAATGTAAGTGATGTAAAGTTGATCTTTTTTGTTTAAATTGTATTTTGTTTTGTTTTTATTTTGCCATAGGAAGAGTTAAGAGACGATTTAGAGAAAGTTTCTGTCATAATAGCTCAAAAAAAAGAGACCAATGATGAGCTAGCACGTGATTTAGTTCAGGCCAATCAGATGTTGGTTAATTTCAACAACCACTATGATAAAAAAGTTAAACAGGTGCAACAGGGTGTTTTAGAGTTTATTTTATGTTTATGGGAATTTTTTTTACAGATTGAAGACCTAAATAACGCGTTAATGTTAAAAGATCAATACATTCAAGAACAACGAGTTAAAACCAATGAGCTTTTAAATGAATTTGAGGAGTATAAAACAAAATTCAGCAATGAAGAATTCATAAATTTAAAACACGAAAATACTTTGAAAAATAACAAAATCACGGAACTGGAAAATACCGTTAGAAAACTAAACAAAAGTAAGCAACTGTCAAAAAATGACGGCTGTCATTTTAAAACGTCAAATTTATACTTTATTTTTCTTGTTTTGTTTCAGTGAATAACATTTTGACGCAAAAAGTTTCAGGACAAATGCCATTTAATCACTAAAAACGCTAAAATAGCTATTTTTAATTTTTAAAATTCTTTTATTTTTGTTAGTTTGTTGCTTTAATTTTGATTTCTAAAATTTTATTTTTATTAATAAAAATAAACGATAAAATCGTAAAATTTTGTTTTTGTTGTCCATGTTTGTTATGTCTAAGGTTTTTTCTACGTGTCTTACGTCTACACATAGTACGTCTACGATAACAACGACATCTTTGAATATTATTCAAAGAACGACATAACCAAAGAAAACATTGAACATAACCTCACAAAGTCTCGTGTTTATATGATGTATTTGTAAGATTTTATAGTGTTTGGCTTAATTACACGATATATTAATGTAAGTAAACAATTATTACATGAAAGCAGAGCAAAAAATCACAAAATTATTATTTTTATAGTATGGACAGTGAAGAATATTTACTAATTTCAACAGAGAACTCTCAAAATTGGTCTGCGGCATTATACAACTACAAAACAACGAATTTGATAAAAATATACAAAAACGGCGGTCAAATCACCCCAAAAACGTTAAATCTAGTCAGCAATGACTTTATATTAACAGCCGAACATGCCAAACCTTTGTTACATGTCTGGCAATTGAACAGCCAAGAAGTCACCAAAAATGTGAGGTTAATTCTTCCAGAGCCTGCTAACTGTATGATTTTGTGCCCCAAAAGTGTTTATATGTGTGTTGGGATAGGCAGTAAAGTTTACATATGGGGTTTGAGCGGGAAATTATTCTCTGTTACAAAAAGTCATTATCAGGCAATAAGTAACATGGTTTTTTCAAGTTGTGGGCAATATTTAGCTGTGGGGGGACAAGATGGTTTATTATTAATTTATAGGTTTTCAGATTTGGTGAGTTTTCAGAATAATTATTTGTCACAAAAAAATTTAGGACAAGTTGAAGCATTATATACTATTAATCATCATAGTATGCCTATAACGGGGTTATATACAGGGAAATTCGGTTTAAAATCAAGATTAGTCAGTGTATCACTTGACCAAAGTTGCAGAATTTATAGTTTTTCTACTGGACAACTTTTACTCACTTTAATATTAAATGAACCAATAACAAGTGTAATAATTGACAACTCATGTTGGAATTTATATTTAGGCCTCAACTCAGGTAATATCACACAGTATAACCTTAAAAAACCCCCACGAACTCTCACCCAACACGTAGAAAAAGAAACAAAGGATTTTATCGCTCACAAAAAAAAAGTCACATGTCTAGATATAAATTTAACAAATAACATACTTTGTTCCGGGTCCGATGATAATCTAGTTTTAATATGGGAAATAAAAAGCCAGCAAATACTTAAAAAGTTTGAATACACACACCCCATAACCAACCTTAAATTTGTATTAGCTCACAGCAACTTTACACTTGAGAATTTTAAACCCAAAACAATGTTAAAGCAGCTTGAAAGGACTCTAGATTCAAACACACCATATACATGTTCAATATACCAAAATGAGGATGTAAATTTGAGTGATGATGAAAACGACTTCCGTAAAGAAAATGAACGAGAAACATTAAAAGAGGAAAATAGAAGATTGAGAACCATTAATAAACAATTATATAATGTTGCTTTACAAATCAGCAAAAAATTGTAATACCAATAAAAGATTTTATGGTATGAATATTCTTAGTTTTAATTTTAATAAAACAGAATCTTAGTAGCCTCTGATTATTAAACATCTTTTATGCTAATACAATTATTTTTATAAAACAAAAAAAGACTAAATGAAAATAACTAAATTAAAAAATTTCCATTTTGTGTTAACTTTTTTTCCTTTTTGGTTGAAAATTTCCGCAAAACGTGAAATTTTTCTCCGGTTGGTAACACTGATCCGTCCACACTGCTTTATTATTTCAGTGCTGCCAATAAAACAACAAAATAACTACACCTGATAAATACAGGGTGTCTCAAAAGTCAAGGACAGCAGAAAAAATGTAAATAGAGAATGGGATTCTAAGTCGAATGGAATTTGCCGTTTTTCGATCAGACGCACCATTAATTAGTTATTAATAAAATAAAGTAGCCAATCACAGGCGTGTTTTAGCAGACTGATTAGAGGTGGGAGGACTATAATGTGCAGCGTAATCTTAGAAATTCTGTATAAAATCGTTGTGTATAATTACCTTAATTATATGCTTGACATTGTCACTGTCACTGTCAGTGTTTTAGATTTTAGGTTAGTTTTACCCAGAGAACCAAGGTTTTACTTTACTTTTACTCATTAACATTAATGTTTTTTATTTTTATGTTATATGTTAGCTACTTTAAATTTGTCGCTGACGAGGACGTCGTAGGCAGGTTGAATTTAATTGTTAAAGCAGCCTTTCATAGAAATAATACTAGTATTATTTCTATGCAGCCTTCAGATGAAGTGTGTTCTAAAATAACGCGCACTGGACGTGCAGGTGTTGGGGTATCTAAAACAAAAATCGTGCAAGCCATTCACTGTAATACATCTGAATTTTAGTACTTCAGATGCTGGATGAACTTGATGCTAAGCAAGAAGGTAAAATATGATTGTTCAATGAATTTCAAAAGTAGAATTTCAACAGAGAATCTTTAGGCAGCAATTCATAATAGAAAACAAAGTAAGTAAGAGATGATGATGATTAGCAGAAAACCCAAGACTGTAGGAAAAAAAAATGTCTTTTATTTCCGTGATTTTTTTCAATTAATTTTTGTATACATATTTTACTTTTATTTATATCGATTATTTCTTAAATAAACTTTTTTTTCAAATAATTTTTGTGTTTAAATATTTTACTTTTATTTATATCGATTATTTCTAAAATAATTTTTTTTATAAATATTTTTTATTAAGACGTGTACTAAATTTTCTTGTATTTTTAGCATTTAAATAATAATGACTAATATTTCTTCAATATTTAGTTCATTTAGCAAAAATATTCATTCAATATTTTCAATATATTTTTGTGTTATGTGGGTATGGCTCTCTGGGTAACTAAAGGCATTCTTTTTTTTTAGGGAAACTTGGTGGCCCTAAGAAGGGCCGTTTTTTAAATAGTCTTCGGTCCTTTATCTCATGAGATGCTCAAAGGTTCCTCCATTTCTCTGCAAGCACATTTCACAACGTTTAATGATATTCGTTCTGACGTTCTCCAGCATTTCTGGTGTTATGTCTGCTTGCGATAATCGAATCCGCTCCAGAGTGTCAAGCTGATCCTCGGGCACGGTTTTGTAAACGACGTCCTTCATGTATCCCCACAAGAAAAAATCCAGAGGTGTTAAGTCCGGTGATCTTGGGGGCCAACGAAACGGGCCGTTTCTCCCAAACCAGCGTCGTGGGTACTCTGCATTTAGGTGATCCCGGACACGACCGAAGTAATGAGCCGGTGCACCATCATGCTGGAAGTACTGAGGACGCTCTCCAACTTCTTCGAGCAACCCTGGAAGAACCTCTTGCAAAAATGCCAAGTACGAGTTTCCCTAATAAATAATCAAAAAATTGTATGATCAACTCATGAAAATATAAATTGATCATTTTTTTAACTTACGTTTAGCGTTTCTGGTAATTGATATAAAATAACGGTATCTCCGATAATACCGCCCCACATATTAATTGTCCACCTGTGCTGGAAACTTTGCACCCTTTCAAAATGTGGGTTTTCAATCGCATACTGATGCACATTATGGAGATTAAAACACCCCTCACGAGTGAAGGGTGATTCGTCAGTCCACAATACATGCCTCAGAAAGTTAGGGTCTTCACGGTGCATATTGAGAATTTGATTGCAAAACTGTCTTCTCATCTCGTAATCTCCAAGTTCCAGATGTTGTACCTTGGTAGCGTGGTAAGGATGTAGTGCGTTGCTAGTTCCAGGATCAGCTGCAATGGCCTCAAGAACGCGTTCTTCATTATGAAGGCTGCGAGCTGTTCGTGGTCGGCCAACGCGTTCAGCAGCACCCGGTAAAACGTTGCCATTCATATTAAAATCCTGAACCGCTCGGAGAATTAAAGCATGATTCGGAAACCGAACACGCACACCTTCAAATTGTATTCGATACTGGCGTGCAGCTTCCGCAGCATTGTGAGCATATTCGTGATACATACGGACCATGTCTGCACGTTCGGCAACAGTATAAGCGCGAGGCATTTCAAAAAGTTGTTAAAGTTTTTTTAACAAAAATGACATTACAATGTATGTCATATTCATCAGGGATAAAAATATCTCTAATTAAATAATAATGTAAAAATTAATTATTAATAAAGTAATTATTTTTACTTAATAAAAAGTAATAGTAAAGTAAAGTATATCACCATCAATCTTTTATTTACTTATTTAATAATTCGCAAGTTAAAAAAAATAACAAAAAGATAGGTAGGTACCTATTTGTCCCACACAAAAAAATAAACATTTCTACTGAACCTAAAAAACCAAAACACTGACAGTGACAGTAAATAAATTAATTTAAGGTCATTTCACATATGACATGTTCATAGCTATGGAATTTTTACAAAAGTTTGTGTTGTCCCACCTCTAATCAGTCTGCTAAAACACGCCTGTGATTGGCTACTTTATTTTATTAATAACTAATTAATGGTGCGTCTGATCGAAAAACGGCAAATTCCATTCGACTTAGAATCCCATTCTCTATTTACCCCTTTTCTGCTGTCCTTGACTTTTGAGACACCCTGTATAATGAGCTGACCATATAGCTTTCAAATAAGCTAAAGGCCAAAAAATTTTGTAGAAGAAGAAGAAAGAATATAACTAGAGATAAACATAACCTACCAAAGTGGTTCGTCAAAAATGTTTTTATCCGCGAATTTTCGTATTCGGTATAATTTACGTGTTATTTAAGTGTCAAAGGTGTATTTTATTGTTTTAAATCAAATGTCTCATGTGACGAAGTAAACTATTTGTGCAGTTATTTTTTGTGCAAACATTTTTATGTGTGAACTTTATTGTTTTGCACCTACAAACGACTATAACCAAATTTTCCTTAGACCAAATAATATAAATCGATTGGGTACTCTCATGGTTATTATAAACATTTTATTTTGTTAATTCGCAGTTCTACTAAGAAATAACTTACTAAATAATATTTT